AAAATATCATGTTTGATAAGGAAAGAAAATAGAAATGATGAAAAAGTGGATGAATTAACTTTCCTTCCAATTCACCAAAATCAATCCCTCCAAAATCAAAAGAAAAATGAATGAAAAGTTATATATTTGTGTTGAGATGTATCTTATTTATCTATATGTCTTTTAATATATATACATATATTATGTATACATTAATTTTGTTATAAAAATACAATGATAAAATATGTATTTGTATATATATTTTTTAACAAATTTTAAAATTTAAAATTTAGATTAAAAAAATATTTTTTTCATCTTAACTAGAGATGAAAATTTTCAACCCAACACGATGACATGACTCGAACTCAACACGAATTTTATGAGACGAAATTGATTATAACTCGACACGAACTTGAAAATGAACTGACACACGAACAAGAAATATAAAAAGCTCATATTCAGTTCAATCAATTAAACTCAAAATTGACACCATCAACCCGTTTATTTAAAAATAAATATTTTCTTTATTTTCTTATTTATATGGTAACACAAAACTAACATATTTAACTAGTATTATAAACATAAAATGTTAATTATTTGTAACTATTTACTAAGTATTGACATAATTATTATATAAAAAAGATATTTTTACTTATTATTATTATATTTATTTAAGTTAATTTTTAGTTTGTAGAAAAAATATTATCATTGATTCAATTAAGTGAAAATAGAATATTAGCGTTAAATTTTTTATTCAAAGTTTATGTGGGGTCAACACAAATACAAACACGAACACGACACGAAAATAAACAGGTCAACTCGCAACTCAACACGACACAATTAATTAAATGAATTGAGTTAAGTGTGACTAATATTCAACACAAACCTGTAATGACTAAACACGAATCTGACACGATACGACTCGATTGTCACCCCTAATCTTAGCTAAGACAAAAAAAAAAAAAAAAATTAGTCATTTTTATTTTTCATCCATCCAACCAAACACAAAGCAAGGAAAGTGTATCACTCCTAATTTTCTTCCTTAAAGAATAGAAAGTGTATCCCTCCTATTTTTTATCCTTTCTACTTTCCATTTTTCCTACCAAACGGAGTATTAGTTTCTATACCTATGGGTCTCTAATTTTTTCTTTATATATTCTCTATTCCTTTGTCATTTGACTTGTTTAGTTACAAATCAATGGGCCTCGTTCCTTTTCTTCTACCTACTTCTTTTTCTATTTTTTTTTTTTATGAATTTTGCTGCTTGTTTGGGATTTCACAGATCCAATCCCAACTCGGATTTACTTAGTCCTAATCAATCCAAGTCTAACGATTCGACTCCAAGTTGAGCTGATATTTCCAAGTCATAACCAAGTCAAGCCCGAGTCAATTCTGTTTTGTTATATTTCTGTAACGGGTATCGATATCGTATCGGTAATGGCCGAGACGAATACGACTCGGTCGATTCCTTGAACCATGTTTGGATGGTTGTTAGCAGTGGGTTGGATGGTGAATTTTAAGGGAGATTGGAGTTGGGTGGTGGATTTTAAGGAGGTTTGCGAGTTGATTTTTGAGAATGTTGGGCGATGTTTGTTCATGGTGTTGGGGGGTGGGTTTCATGGGGGGTGTTGGGGGTGGGGATGTTACGGTGGTGGATTTTGGGTGGTTATTAACAGTGGGTTTTGGTGGTGGATTTGTAGGGGGGTTGGGGGTTGGTTTTCGGGGGTGTTGGGTGGTGGGTATCAGGGGGTGTTGGGGGGTTTGGGGGGACATTTCGGGGGTGGTTAGAGTGTGTTTCAGGGGCCTGGGGATGGTGGGTGATGGGTTTCTGGGAGTGGGTTTTTAGGGGTGGTGGGTAGTGGATTGTAAGGGGTTTGGCGATGAATTTTCGGTAGAGTTGAGTGGTTGTTAGTGGTGGGTTTAGGTGGTGTTAGGTGGTGGGTTTTGGGTAAAATACCTAACATGCTTTTTATTTTTTTTCATAATTTTTTAAATATAAATAACTACCAAATATGTTTTATATTTTTTAATTTTTATCACAGAAATACAAAAACTAATTTTTTTTTATAAAAAAACAAAAAAATGAAAACGTTACCAAATATACCCTAGATGTTTTAAATAACACAATTCAGGCCAAACCCTAAAGAGGCCTCCCTTTAAGAATAGCTTTAAGAATGGAGGTAAGCTTGTTAACCGGGTGCACCACTAGAAGAAGGCTATGGCATGTAAAATCCAAAGCAAACTACAATAAAATATATGGCCAACTAAACCCAAAAAAAAAAAAAGAAAAAAAGTTGAAGGTTATATTAGAACATTTCCATGGATACATTGATTGCATCATCAAGTTTCCTGGAAATGAACATGGTTCTATTCAAAAAAAAAAAATTGTATACCATCAACAATTCAAAAAACATCCAAAGACCAAGTTTGGAAAACAATATTATGAAGGATGCAGAATTAATGTAGCTCATAAGTTGAATCCAAAGCTACGTGGGCTGATGGATGTGGTTGGACATTAGGAAAAGGCAAAGCTTTTTATAATATGGTTATGCAGATAGATTCAAACTTTCCCTCAAACAGGCTACCAAAAAGAAAAGCTTAACGACCACAGCTATGGGTTACAAATGAACAAGAAGGAGATAGAAACAAACATAATTTTTTTCAACCATTCAAATGTGAAATCAATTACGAATACTTCATACCTAGCTTTCTGAATTCTTAAGGAATTCACTTAACAAAAAGTTTAAACGAAAAAAAGGACTTCACATCTTCATTACTATTATTGTAGTATTCTCTCAATATATCACATGCTAATTTGATATTCACATTTGATAATCTTTCTTCTAAAAGAAGGCCCACTTTCTCTAATGTTGGTCGATTTGAATTTATAAATTGAAAGAATTTTTTGTTTGTTCCAAAGACTTGTTTTTGAAGTTTATTCAAAATATTGCACAAGTCCCATGGAGATTTCAACTCGATATAAAAATTGTTAAGATTACGAGAAGTTAGTAAATGAAATGTATTATTGATATCAGTATTACTTGAGGCTAGATAACCCCCTTTATTTCAGACAACGTAGATGGCTCTTTATCTCTATAAATAGAGGACCACTCTACAGGAGGATAAATCATAGGAAGTTTGAATTTCACTGGAAGGAGTGATAAATCAAAATTACAAACAACATAACAACCCCTTTTATTAAAAAAACGTATTTTAGATGAAGATGATGGAATAGTAGGTTCATCTGTTATCTCTAGTGTTAATGATACATCAATTAATTCTTTTTCATACCTAAACTCTATTCAATATTTACCCATTGAGTAATTATGTTGACTCCTATTCACTTTTTGAGTTTTCATTTTTCTATCTATAAAAAAGTTCTTTATTTTACTATCAAACATAAGTTTGTTAGCTTGAGATCTCACATGAGAATCAAGCTGATCCATCACAGTTGATAGCTTAACAGCAGTTAAAAACTGACTACAGTTAAACACAGATCCTAATACATATATTATTATAGTCTCCCGTGTATACATATCAAAAAGATTAATAATATATAAATCCCCGTCAGATAACTTCTTGCTCTTAAGATAATCCTTTGCATTTATGGTACCTTCCGAAATTAATAATTTCACTAATTTAGGAGCTTCAGCAAATACATTTGTTTGCTCAAATTAAGAAGTTTAATTTTCAATACGTTCTTGTAAATCCTTTAATTTCTCTATATTATAGTTATCTGGATTGTAATTATGATCTTTGGCAAAATCCCTCAATAGCTAAAACACAAATTTATAATATAAGACATTATGAGAATCCTTTTTCTCATCCTTTTTATAATCCAAATTTTGAAATAAATATGGTTGGAAAGAACACCAGAAGGCTTCTAATTTGATCTTTTTGATACTAGCTTTATCCAAAGCACTAGAGCAATTGATTTTATCACTAGAAGGATAGTTTTCTGATTTCGAAATATTACCAGTTGCTAAATCAGCATCTGAATCTGAATCTGATGGTGAAATATGAAACATAGAAAGTGAAATTAGATTGTGAACTTTGGGGACTACGTAAATTAATAAATGATTCAATTTATCCTGAAGACGACTAGCATTCTTTAAGATCATGATTTTCATTTCATTTTTTGTCATCATTGGTTTTCTATCTCACATAGCAACTTATATGGGAACATACATTGATGGCATCCTTATTAATGCTGGAAAGCGTTCGATAGGATCATTGTTCGATAGAATCCTTCTCATACGTATGATGGCATCTCTAATATGAAAGATTGGATTTTCATTCTATGAGATCCTTCCCCCACTCTTTAAAGGGATTTTACATTTGATGGGATCCTTATTTAGTGACTTCCCTTCAAGGTATTTCTTCTTTTTTTTTTCGTAGATGATTCTCTTATCACCCTAAACCTTACCCTGGGTATTTTTATTGATTAATGTGTGATAGGTAGCATATTTCTTTTCCTATCTACCCTTCCCCATCAGTAGCTTACGAGCTGGGAAGCAAAGGCTCACACAACCAGTCATATAACTTAGATGGGACATAACTTAGATGGGACAGGCTGTGGGTTCTAAATTTGTAGACGTGATAGATATTTATCTATAGAAGTATTCCCATACGGGCTATGCCGCGCGGGGAACATTATTCCCCCCTAAAGATTGCCATGAGATAGGGAGGGGATCTTCACCCCTCTTCTCTATGATGGCACACATGAAAATAGGCAATGATATACAACTTGGTCTCCAAGTTTGACTAAACCTAAAATGCATACACCTTTCTAGATTGATCAAAATACTCAGATCCTACATAAATTCAGTACCTAATAAAAGCAAGAAGTTTACAAAGCACCCAAAAACCTGAACCAGATCCAAACTTAATTGATAAAGTTAGCTCTAGTATTACATAAAAGAAAGATATGCCATATAATCTTTATGTTTTTATGAAAAAAATAATCACAATCATATCAATTTCACCTCATGAAAAAACTTGTATTTGATCTTAAATCATACAATAAAACCAATTCCAAATGTGCAACAAGATTCATAGCTCATATTCATTTCCTCTAACAGCATTTCTGCCAAATTCAAGGAATGGCCTACAGAGGTAAAGGAGCACACTAAATTCCTTTCAATATATACACCATTGAAGAAGCATGAATTGATTATGGAAAGTATTTCAATTTTCATCTCAATTATAGTAGAAGAAACTAGGAAGATGACAGGTTAAAAGACTAATACTAATTGTCAAAGCTGCACTAGGTCTTCTGCACAGAATCTTTTATGGAATGAACCGTCGAAGTGTCTATGTAAAGTGAAATTCAGCCTTGGATTGGCAGCAGTGCTGGTAATCTGGAATCTAATATTTGATGCGAGTCTTAGGCACCTCTTTTGAGCTGTCTTCAGGCCAAAATGCCTGTGAGACAACTGTGGGTTTTTGGAAATCAATATAACAACCTTAAGAATGAGAAGCACAAACTCATCAAGAGTACCTCTATTTTGCTCTCAAGCCAAAACAATAGCTTACATCATTAAACCTCAGTAAAATGAGCACAAGCTTGTAGAGCACTGATTGTCAGGGAGCATATAACGTGTCAAGTACATAAATATATTTTGTAAGAGATGAAAGTAGATCTTGAATTCCCAGATGGCATAGAAAAGAAAATTTGAATAAAATCAGGACAGCTACCATACTTCATGGGTTTACAGACCTCAATGCACGATATAGCTCCATCCCTAACACCAGGATTTGAGTCGTTTAACATCTGCAAAATCTGAGAAGGCAAGGAAATTATTAAGTTTACCATGGCTATTTCCCAAAGTAACAGAGAAAAATATGTATAGAAAAGAAACATTAGTTCTACATATAATAACATTGTACTTAACATACAGGAGGCAGAATAGCACGTTGAAGAGGGAGCTCTGTAGATGCAAAAAGACCAATAGCCGATGTGACAGTCCGTGCAAACTCTTCGCGAACTCGCCAGCTTTTGTGTGTCCAGGCATAAGACCCTGCTCTTTCCACGATTAGGGTTGGTGAAGAAATCTGCACAACACAATTATTACTGGAACTGTAGCAAATAAAACCCAAGAGACTAGGGGATCCTAATTTGTGTTGAATTAAACACAACCTAGGAACTCACTGACCCAATGAACTAAAGCAGGGTACCACCTGCACAAGGGCAATAAGATGCATCTAAAGACAAAAATTAGAATTGAATGTGGCTTCAACAATGAGATTAAACAGAACTGAACAAGAAATAGAAAGTGGCCTTATATGGGATGCTGCCGCTGAAGCTTCAACGAATATATCATCAGTCTACGAATATGCAATTCTGCAGTCAGTGGCTTATTCAGTCTTGTGGTTGTGTTTGGCATTATAAAAAGGGAAGGAGGGAACTTGAGAACCAAAAAGATAAAAAAGGCAGCCCAATACAAGCAGCACAGCTATCAAATCAACAGCCCCCTCCATCCAAGTATTGGCCCAGCCCTTAAATCAAGGCATGAGATATAGCAGTGCCATCCCAGTTTTAACTCATCGAATAATCCTAGTCTTTCAAAAAGTGAAATAGCGATGGACACTACCAAATTGGTAAAGAGGCAACTGTATCACTGATCCACCTATGTATTAACCCCCACAAAATCTAAAATTAATGATACCTGGTAGCAAATAGAATCCCATTTCGTTTCCAACTGCATCGCAGGTCGTGAATCTTAGATTTCATACATGTAAGCCTTGGTCCCATAACCGACACTCAATTCGTAAGTTTCTACTTTCTAGAAACTTAAGTATGAATAGGTCCTCAGAGAGGTTGAAGGTAAGGAGAGTCCATGCTAACAATCTCAGTATAGTTTGCCTCGTGAATTCAATTAGAATTGGAGATTCAAAAACAAATCCAAAGACCAACAAGAAAACACGTATAAAGAGACAAAGTGAGCGTGTGTACCTCCATGAGAGTGAGCAAGAGCCGCCGAGAGGCATCGCGAACTGGCTGTTTACCATCGCCCAATCTTTCAACGATTGCCGGAACTACGGCATTGAAGTGAAGTTTCAAGTGATCACCGGAAAGAACAGCAGCGGAGGCGAGAGCTAGGAGTGCCCCCTGAGAAACCCTAAAGTTGTTGTCTTTCAAGAGATCCAAGCACACATCGACGAGCGAAGTCACTTCCGACGACGACAGATTCTTTCTAGAAGCTTCTAGAAGTTGGTGGAGTCTCTCCACACCCGCCATTCTCTCCTTCGTGTCCTTAGCACGTGCCAACTCCAACGCCTCCTCCATAATGGAATCAGGGTTTTCAGCGAGCGGGGATATGGCGGAGTGGGGTTCAGATCTGCGTGCGCGGATTTGGTGGGAATGTAGTTTAATTGGTGGCGGTCTGGCATAGAACACAGAGAGAGAGAGAGAGTTTTCTTGCTGGACTTCACGATGGGGAGGCCTTGTGGGGTTACAGTATTTCGAAATTTTCCAATTGTTTTACTTTTTTTTTTTTTTGAGAATAATTGTTTTACTTAATTGGGCAAATTAACTTTGCATATGAAACATTTTAAGATTTTATTTTATACCCTTAAAAATTAAATTTTTTATATTACACTTTTAATATATCAAAAATATTATAATATAATTCTTTTGTTAGTTTATTTTCGGTCTGAGTAAATTTTTGACAAAACAAAAAATTTACAGAAATATCATATTAGAAGAAAAAAAAATTAATTTTTAAGAATATAAAATAAAAATTTTAAATTCCAAAATATTTCACTTTGAATCCAAAATATTTTTTTATTTTTTTAAAAAAATATATTTTATACCTTTAAAAATTAAAATTTTTATATTACATTCTCGTGACCTTTTTAGTTAGTTTTTATTCTCTAATTTATCAAAAATCAAAAGCTGAAATTGACAGAATAAACAACAGAAACTAATAAATGACTATATTATAATATTTTTAATATATTAATAATATAATATAAAAAAAATAATTTTTAAGGATATGTGGTGAAAATTCTTAAATTTTTTGGAATATAAAATACAATTCACCCTAATTTACAGCCTGTGCCATTGTGTTCGACTGTATGGTGGTACGATTTGAGTCGTGACTTCAGCGTGACGTAACAGCACCTAAATTTTATCATTATTTTCAATTTTCTTTTTTTTAATTAAATTTTATCTCAATTGAGCCGACATACCCAACTATTGACCTATCATCCATCTAAGTCACCAACTTAAATATTGTCCAAAGCTAATGATCAGCCTAACAACCACCGCTCTTATTAGTAAACTTTAAGATCGTAAGATTAAATATTGTTGTCCTTTTATTTATTATTAAAAAAAAAAAAATACCCCTAAATCCCATGATCACCACTCTACCTACCACCTCCAGCACAACACATGGGAAAACCCACCATTATCACTTGAACACATGAAGCACGGATATGAATACTGGTATAATACGATACAGATATGATAATACGATAAAATTTAAAAAAAAAGGATACATGTACGGTCAAAATACGATTATAATAAAATATTTTTATTATTTTCAATCAACATAATACTTATATATTTTGGTAATTTTTTAACACAATGAGAAAAATTAGTAATTCTTTTTAGTTTGAAAAAAATATATATCGTATCACTATAGTATATTCACAAAGTGAAATAATTAATTAAAGGAATTAAAACTAATATTTACCGAATCAATTTATTTAAAAGTAATTTTTGCTAAGACTATAATGTAATAAATTTATGTTATGCTCTGTTGACATGTAATTATAGATAATACTTCAAAAATACTCATGTGCCTTTAAAGTAGTATGCATTTTTATAAATGTATTGTATGGTATGTGAATTCGAAAGGAAATATTAAAAATTCAACTCATAAATTATATTATTGCTTGAACACAAAAGTATCCGTAAAATATCCTAATATTTAATTATTATTTGATACATAAGAGGTGTATCCAATACATATCTTCGAGTATCATATCCGATATAAATATCCCGACCTCAACGTAATATCCGTGCTTCATAGATCGGGACCAAGCCATTAAACACACCCACAGCACCAAATCAACTGTTAGAGAGAGAGAGAGAGAGAGATCAACTGCAAACCACAAACCATGCACCCCACCCTGTGAACATTCCACGGCACCAACCACTACGGGCTCTTTAGTCTTTAAACGCCCTCTGAGGGCCCAAAGCCTATATACTTCAATGAATCCGATTATAATATCAAAATTTTACGAAAATTTGTGAGTAGATACTTTATAAATTATTTATTTGTGAAAAAATATATTGAAAAAAATATATTGTAAATAAATACTATTAGGTTGAAATATATTGTATCTAGATACAAAATGATAATTTTTTAATTTTTTTCTTTATTGATATTATTTTTCATAATTCATGGACTTTGTAGTTTGACAGTTAATTTTTTTATGAGATTTAGTTTTATTAATTCAGCAGGTTTGTTTTTTAAAAGATCTTTTATTTTTTAAATTTTAAACATATTCTTTTTTACCATCAATGACGTCTAACCAACATTAGTGCTCGTCTTCTTCAATGGATTCTTATACTTCAACGTTAGGTGATCGTCTTCTAGTTCAACGTCTGCTGTTTTTCACCCACAAGTTATAGAGTATTTCATCTTCTTCTATTTCAATGACTAGTGTTATACATTAACGTCTAATTTTCAATTTCAACATTTAATTTTCTACTTCAACATTTGGAGAAATAAAAAACTAAAATCTTATCTCAGCACCTTCTCCGTGAGCCCACCACAATCCATATTTGCAAGAGTTTTCTCTTTGTTCTATGCTTGACGAACTAGTTTGGCTGATCTATCTCCAAATCAAGTAATATATTCATTCATTGAAGCAACTTGTTCTTGCTCCCATTCGTACTGCTTTATATGATTTTTAACTTCAACGTTGGTGGTTGTACTGTTTTATTACATTGTAATGTAACACTGTCATTTCTACAAGTAATAATATATGTGTTTGTCGAACTGTACATAAATCAGGGATTGCAATTACACATATTTTGTCAGTTATTAAAGTGTTAATAAAATTGTTGCATTGTGATGTATCACTGTCATGTCACACCTTGTTAATCAATGGTGCTCCAACATATGTACAATCACTCAATACACAAGCGAAATATTTTTTGGTTCTCAAAATTTTTGATTGTTTGTGTTTTTGATTTGGTTGAAATCTCATAAATTTTATGGTATTTTTTGTTTGAAATTCAAGCACCCTATTTTGCACAATATCTTAATGGCCGAATTTTCATGGGAATGATGCTTGATTTCCGACTGTTTGGCATTTATAAATAAAAAGAACATCTACACAAATAATTTTACCCGAAGGACTTTCACTCAATAAAATCCTATATTATTGGCCGGCCTACAGAAATCCCAAAAATTTACTTTTCAATATTATACTTTATGCATAGTTTCTATTGTTTTTTTATGGTCAATCACTACAAATAAATCAAGATCTATAATTGAAAATAGTTTTTGGTATGATGCAATTTTTTTTATATCCAAAACCATAAACATAGCCATAATTCTATATGTAGGGTTTTTCTGTTTTTTTTAAAAAAAAATCATTCTCTAACGGTTATGTGTATATACGTTTTTTTTGTTCAACAGTCCGGGATGTCTGAACCAACTTACGCGCGTCTCGACTAAATTCCTCTCCCTGATTCGTTTCAAAACAGGTCATCCATGCCGGGACTAAGGTATTTATGAAAAATAAATTTCTCATGGCCTGACACTAAGAGATTACCAAAATTCAGACTCAAGACATCTAAATTTACAGCTCGTCCTTCTCAAGTGCTCCTTGGTAAACTTGAGCTACCCACACGAGTTGTATGTACTTATACATGCTTGTATTAAGGGGAGAAGGCATAGACAGTATTGTTGAGGAGATAAAAGGCATGTACAATAAACCAGAAAGCAAAGATAACTTCTCAATTTCAGGACAGTGATAGTAATCAAAATAGTTAGAGTGACATGCACTAAATTTGTTTGGGAGGGGGGACACCACTGATGATAAGTTTCACCAAAACAACAAGTGGTTAGTTACGTGTCTTTGAATACATAGTACTATGGTTGTTAATTAAGTTCGCAAAGGCTTAATTTCCAGAGAGGGATTGATTGGTACAAGAAGAAACATAACAACTAAATGATAATGCCAAGCCACCAACTCCTTTTGGACATAGCTTAAGTAAAACAAGGAAAAAAAAAACAAACAACTACAACCTATCCGTTTCTACTTAGTCCTTCGTCATGTGGGATTCCAGAGTATAAAATTTATTTACTAGTTCAACGGTCAAGAGTATTCGAGTCAATTTACACGCACCTTGACTAATCTCTTATCTGATTCAGTCAAAAACAGATCATCAACACCTTACTATTCATAAAGGATAAATCTCTTATAATCAGACCCCATGAAGTTGCTAAGTTTTAAACTCATGACATCTGAGTTCGTTTGGTCCCTATATTATTGAGATTTTAGAGTATAGAATTTAATACAAGGTAAAGTAATGAATTAAGTAATGTGGGCCTTTACAGGCTGGCTAACTAGGGTTGTTGGGAAAGAGCCAAGGCATCAAATGACAATGCATGGGGTATAAAAAACAAATATCTCATTATCAAAAAGTAGCAGTCAGTAACACCAGTGAGACAGGTAGGAACTACAAACCTTATGGCTGTGAGCCTGTGATGAGGTTTCTATTTTTCTGATATACAAGATTTCAAGGGGTATATGAATGAACTTCTTCAAAATCTACCCCTCCCAGTTAGGGTTAGCAATTCTCAACACGACCCATCAATCCAATGCAAAATCAACTGGGATAACCTGCTAGACTCGCTCAATAACGAGTAAGGCATTGAAAAATTTTAATTGGACATGACTTAGTTAACTTATACGCCGACACGAGAAAGCCCGATACCAGCCTTACCTCCAGCTCCTTCTTGGTGGTCTTTCTCGCCATGGACATCTGATAACGCTTGCGTCATAACTAACTAGAAGACAGCCAGCAAAGAACTTTATTTAATTCAAAAGGTAAGAGAACACTGATGCCACAAAAAACCCTCGAGAGCAATGCTATGCATACCACAAGGTTAACTGACCAAAAGCATTTCTACCAAATAGATCCCCCATGAACTGATTGTCAAAATGCTCTTTTGGTGTGACATCGGACAACTCATTTGGTAAAATGCTTTGCACATAGCACTGTTCAACCCTCAATAGTACTTGACACCAGCAAAAGCTTGTAACCATCCACCTATGACTGGGTGGTCATGATAAATCCAATTGCTTTTAGTCCGAAAGAGCGTATCTAGATTTCACCCAACCATAAAGAGAATAGGGTCCTACAGGGAATAGGACCATCAGAAGTGTCTTATGATATGGCCATAAATCTTAAGAACTTTGTCACATGAAACTTAAATACTAACCTAACACTTCTAGTGACCAAGATCTCTCATTCTCTCTATTTGGGAATATTATTTTCGAGCACTAGAGCAAAACTCGTTCTTACCTTAAGCTTTTAATAATATGATCATAGAGGTAGAATTCTACTTGAAGAAAGGGCTTTGCTAATCTGATCAAATTTAGAGAATCAAACGATGTGGCACAGTCAAATCCAATAAACAAGGGAGCCCAATAAAATATCTAAAAATATCAATTTGGTGTATGGATTTGTTGTATCATTTGGCTACAAAATTTAACCAGTATGTTGGTTAAAGAAAAGGACACTACACCCATTGTGGTTGGCTTCTAGTCAACTATTAGGAAGACCAACAAAATATGCCAAACATCACCTATTTTCTTAAATATGCCCGTTTTAACCCATACAAGTACCTAACCGCACATAAGGAAAATGTTTTTTGTATCATAAAATTAAAAAAACAAAAGGTTGCCCACTCTTCTTTGATCCATCTTATGTCCCAGTGGCAGCCTTGACCCGACTGGAAGTGTGATGTGTCTAAAAACTCAGGATCATAAATGGTTTCAAGTATCATTTTGATCGCCTCTTCCATGATCCTTTCTATAGGTAGAAATATTGCAAACGGTCTAAACTTTGACCCTTATTTCTTTCTTCATATTGTAAAGGAGAGCAAAGCCCCTTTGTTGCTCCCTCTCTAGATAGATCAAGGGCCATTCCTGTTGTCATTTTAGTGACTCATAGAGCTTCCCTTAGCTCATATTTTTGGTTCTTGAGAATAATCATTGTCTCTAGAAAGAAAAGTTAAAGTCGATAGGAAAAAGGGTTTAGAAAAGATAGTAAGTACTTGTTATATTAACCATAGGCTCTCTAGGCTTGGTTTCTTACCTTTTTTCGAATCAGTAATCAATTCCTATATGTCAGTCTCGCATTCACTCTATCCGTCCAACAAGCTCTCTTTCTCATTGGTAGGCAGAAGACAAGGGTTTTGGAGGGAACTGCTAAAGGTGTGTATAAGGACCACATATTGTGTATGTTAGATTGTCCCTCCAACCGAACTTCACTATGAACTAATATACTGAAATTAGCATATAATGAAGAATGTATTATAAGTACGGCAGAACCAACATCCCAATTATTAAGTCAAGCACAAGGAAATCGACACACATGAATGACTTTTATTAAATACAAAGGATGAGCTTTGTCTTGGTAATCTATAATATAAAACATAGTAGACTTCAATAAACCCATTCGACGGTCTCAAATAGACTAATCCAATAGCTACCAACATCCCTTCCAAAATCATTCACATTGAATTCCCCCCCCCCTCCAAATCTATTACTTCTCACTTACGTTGTACTATGCTTTCAAGTGCAGGTTACCGCTAGTAAGTTACTCTACTTAAGTGTCAAAGATTCGAGTCACAAAACAATCTATCCAAATGCAGGGTAAAGCTTACTATATCAGACCCAAACCCCAGCAAAGTTCTCATACATTGACCGCCCATTTCATAAAATAAAAGATCACCAAATAACGTCCCTCCACCAATTATAGCACCACCGCCACCACCCAACTTTACAGCAACAAACCACCACCTTACTCATCCAGCCTGATTCATCACTTTAGTTACACCAAACAAACCAGTGCACGGTTCCCTTCCATCCAGCAATTCATCTTCCACAATTCATCGTCTCAAGAATCCAAAACTCAAATTAATCACAGAATGGAGGATGTGGAAGAGGTGATTGAAAGGTGGTGGGTCAGATTAGGGGGAATGGAGCTCCATCCCCTCAAGACTTGGTGTTACACCCCCCCCCCCAAAAAAAAAAAAATCAAAGTTGGTTGGCAATGATCACAGCCTTGAAGATGATGAATTTGGCCACTGTGTGGGTCTATGTGTGTGTGCACGCACTGAATGTTAAGAGAGCTGGAGAAGAAGAAAAGTACGTAGCAGCGGCTTTAACAAAGTTCAAATGAAAATGGGATGTTTAGATACAAAGACTGTATGGATGCAATAAGAAGTTTACATCTGTTACGAGACAAACTCTAACAGGAGTATGCTTTTATTTAAGAAACAACAGGGGCATCCTCAGTGAAATTGATTACTAAAGAGGGGTGTTAGTGTGCTATTTTCCGTCAGGAAAAGGCTAGTGCCTGAGTAAACATCTGACAGATGCAGGACCTAAGGATCATCATCATAAGGTTGATTTGAGGCAGGCAATGATGAAAGCACAATGATAGGTTTTCCATGAATTTGAAATCCAGCCAGCACAGAAGCTTCTGCAGATTGATCACAGAAACTATTTCCTGTCAAGTCTAGATGCTCCAATTTCCCTGATAGCAAGCACAATAAAGTCAAATCTCCAAAACCGCAATACATTTAGAAGGTGATCTGAGAACTGTAGTATTCCTAGCATTCTGAACTTCAGTCAACCCTAATATACTTGTTTCTTCCATATGGTACATAAAGGATTCAGTCTACTTCACAGTATCCACAGCCATATATTGGTTTTTGAGAAAATAATGTTTGAGTTATGTAACTGCCATATTAAAACACAGATCCGCGCCTCCCAATGATGGTAGAAACAAAAACGGAGTGATATAATTGGTGTTCAAAAATCCCAAGAACACTTCACATGCATAATAAGATGTATACACGTCATAGACTTCCTAAAATGAAACATGCTTCCATACATTCGTAAAGAGCACAAAATAGCATGTATTAAGAACAATAATAAGATTATAAACCAGTGGGCCCCACCAAAAACTACACTTTGAAGGCTTGACATAAGTATAGTTAAATCAGCTTTAGTAGTTTGAGCCATGAGAGGAGTCTTCATAAATGTTGTTTATTCAAACTGTTGGGAAGTTTTAGTAGTTATATGGACATCTCACAAGAGGCCATTTTCAGCCATTCCTTACCATCTGTCTTTGCTCCTATGAAAGGTAGTTTATCCCTGAGCACATTTTACCTCCACCAAACAACCTATACATTACTACTACTTACTGTACAATGTCAATGTCAGCTATCTGAAAACCACTAGTTCCCAAAATTTGATTTGTCAAACATTGTAAGTATATATAGAATTAAAAACTCCACACCAGATTTATGTACCTTTTGCAACTTTCAGGCCAGAGCATATTGCTGACAAGGATTCCACAGGCATAAAATTATATCCTGCATTGACTGCAACAAGTCTTGGAGATTGTGAAATGAGCTTTGACAGAAATTTGGCAGTTTCAATCCCACCTCGGTTTTTGCTGGACAAGATTGGTCAATGTGTTAACTTAGGAATAAGATACAATAAAAATTCTAAGAAAATATAGCTACCAGTAGAACCTTATATTGATGTAGACAAGCTTCAACTCTTCCATCAATTCTTCTTGTGCTTCCAGAAAGCCAGATGAACAAAGTCCAATATCCTCAATATTGAGGGATCGAATGCCTGTGCACAAGTATTTTCCCAGTGGTGCCCCCACTTTACTGGAGAACACCTGAATCAAGACCATACATAACAAAGACATAACTTAAGCAACAAAACATAACTTCCCACCCAGACTAACATGCCAAGGTCATTATCGCCAATTGAAAGGGCATTCAATGGTTTCTTTAATTGCGAAAGGACTCCCAAAAGTTGACTCACTCCCTTGCAAGTAAGCTCACAGTTTTCCAACTTCAACTCAGCGAAGGGGGGTTCTCTTTCAGAAATCTCAACGAAGTATGAGATTAAACTCCTAAAAAATAGAAAAAAAAATTGTAAGATCACATAACTAGGATGATTAAAATGAATGAGGAAAAAAATCTACCAACTTCATTCCATCATCCTCAATAGGATTGTCACTTAAATCAAGAGTGCCCAAGTTAGGCATGTGAACCAGAGCATATATAAGACAATCTGCATCATCTTTTTGTAGATTGGTGTTCCTGAAATTAGAGAAGTAACCTTCAGGTGAATGATAACACGGCTTATAATGGAAGACAAAATCCCTGAGAATCATTATGTTGGCTTTTTGTTATTTGGGGGAGTGTATTCTTGAAATCCTAGTCATACAATTACATAGCATAGGAGATGACCCCCAAAACTTGTATGTGCATTTTCATTATTTCATTGGAACACTCTAGACATTTTCAAAGGCAAGCGCTTTATCATGCATATCTGAATCCATAGATTTCTTAGCTGCAATCTCATCATTTGATCGTTTACACAGGCAGCATTGACATTGAACATAAATTGTGAAATACCTTAGATTGAGCACACGTAATGATTGCAATGACTTGCCTATTCCAGAATACAACTTGGAGCAACTTGTGGATCTCCATTTGAAATCAGAAAGCCAGCCAGCAATCTGCAACATTGTCAGTAGAGTGTTATATAGGTTTAATGTGAAGAGAACAGCTGTAAATCATATTTTGACACTGTATGCTATACTCACATTGTTCTCTGAAAGGTCCAGAATGACTATACTAGATGAAGCATCAAGGAGGGTATTCAAAACCATTTTTGCAAAATTCTGTTGGAGGTTGTTGTCAGATAAGCTTAACAAAGTCAAAGACCTGACCCAAAAGATATATGAATAAGAACATAGAAATGATCTTGATACTATTGGTCTGATTCCATGAGATGAAACATGATGCCTAGCATGATATACAAACAAAAAAAACGCGGGTATAAATCATACATTTGGAGTTCTCATTGGATGGTAGAACTTAATCATTACAAACAGGCAATATGAGCCATTCTACCACTAATTTCAATTCAAATTTTCATAAAGACCCAAATGAAATAACAAATCCTTGAAAAACAAAGTCTTAAATCTCCAATCAATAAGAAGCTGTGACTGTGTGTCAAAAAAATCCTAGGCCATACTGAAGTTGCTTAACAATAATCTGAATACGAGGGATATCAAAGACAGTTTCTTTTATTTCATGTGTATCTCAGAGTCCCATCACAACTTCTCCATTTTAATTGCAAATTTCCGACATTTAAAAACAAGTTTCCAAATGCAATGGGTTTGGATTTCCTCTCAAGAAAAAACATAATCTGGGAGAAGACTAGCCAAGAAAACTTCACTGCACAAAGCAATATGGGAAGAGTAACCTCAATTAAATTGAACAAAGAAATAGTAAGAGTTTAAGAGAGAAACAAGACAAAGCAGTAAAACAAATCTGTAATTTCAGAAAGTTTAGCTAATTTCTGGGAACTTCTCGTAGATTTTCCACCCTACTCCTGCTAAACTGCAAAACCACCCAATGTTCTCTGAGCCACCAAGGTGATGTGATCTGTATAAATGCATATACCTCCTGGATACTTCTAAAAATAACATAATTGCACCTGTCCAAGTTCTTCTTGAACATAACTACCACATTAAGCTTCATCAAAAATGGAAATCAGCAAATTTGAAAACTCTGCTGGAGTTCATGTAATAACATTGCTGCAATGTAATATGAAATAAAAAACTAACTAGAACAATCCATGCACACATATCGTGCAGTATAGTTACAAGCAAGCTTGATGTCATATGTTGAGAGAAATAGCTTCCACCACTAAACCATGACACTAAACTATTCTTATGTTTCAATCATATTACCCACTTCAAGCAATGGAGCACATAGAATACACACCAAGAAGTTGATGAAGAACAAAGCCGAGAATGAGATATCGAGACATACCTCCCTGATGATAAAAATGATGCCAGTCCAACAGGTAAAGGAAGCGAGTTGATTTCCATAAAGCTAGATGTTTTGATTGAGAAATGTTTTACCCCATGTGTTTGAAGACCCTTTATGTGTAGTGAATCGCAAATTGCATCGACAAAAGTCGAAGATAGCTTGCAATGAATGAATTCAATTGAAGTAAGTGTCTCACTGTTTTGGTCCAGAAGCTTACATAATCCCACAACCTGTCAGATTGTGGCAAGTCACTAAATCATTAGTCCAATAAAAAGCAATTCACTAACTCGAGTTTCTCTACTCTTTCCAATTTTTCCTCAGAAAGGCACTTGGAACAGCAAGGACAAACCGTTTTCCTTTGCCTGCAACGACTTCTATTAAACACAATCATTTTTCAAAGCTTAAGATTCCTTTCAATTTAACTTGTTGAACACATTTTTGGTAAACCTCCCCATTCCTTCCCATATTATTATATGACCCTTCAGTTTCTGGGAAAAGAAAAGATAGCACATCTTTAAGCAGAATTCATAATTTTTTTTTTTTTGCATACCAATACACAAAAAAGCACAATCAGATTTATAAAATTTGGTTCATTATCATAATGCCAGTTTTTTTCCTATTAAATGATAAAACCGAGTATAAACAAGTTCACCACCTTGGCTCAAAAACCTTGACAATGATGTACATGAAAGTTAAATGGACTCAAAGTAAAGTTGTTTTAAGAATCATGTTTGATGTAACCGAGAAGCTTAAAAAGAAGGTAAATTTTTTTTCCTAAAACCTTGTTTCAAGTGAGATGGTCAAGAAGAAAAATGATTCATATAAGACCATTCTACATGTTGCATGCCAATGATCCTGCTGGATGTCTTCTGCAAACCATAAACAGAAAGATACTGTTTATCTTTACTTAATGCAGCATAAAGAACTGACAGCCAACACCAGACCTAGGCTTTTATGGTGGCACGGGCACCTTCCCTAACAAATTGTACTCAAATGAATCTTCAAAAATAGCTGACATCAAGAAGCATATTATCAATGTAGTTTCTGGAAGTCTTATGAAGGTTCGGATGTAAGAGGTTGCATGGGCCCCCTAGAAACAAGTATGCATAGCTGGCTCTTTTTCTCTTTCTCTTGGGGTAGGATTCTGCAGCTTAGAGGCCACTTTAAGAATTTCTAGCTCATTCTACTTGCATTTTTTTTGGGGGGGCTTCCTTTTCCTTTTTTGTTGCCTTTGTTTCAGTTGGCTTCCTTTTGAGTGTCCTAATTTGTTCATTTCACCATTATTTTCTGGGGTTTCACCTAAGTTTAAGACACAAATGTACATTGGAAATTAATAATCTTACATGTTCATTCGATTTAATCCATCGTAGTTCCAAGCTTTCCAATTTACTGGTCCTTAATAGAAGCTGCAACAGAACAATAATAACAGATACAAAAAGTCACATGCTAAAAAACAAGCTACTTTGTTGCAGTAAACAATATTGTTTTCAGTTTTACCTTTCTTCAATAAAAAAGATAAAACTACAGAAACAAATCCGATGATGGGCTCCCCACATGATCATATATAACATGTACTTTCAATAAACATTTTACCACTTAATTCTTCCGTATGTCTGAAACCAACTGCCCTTACAACTTCTGAACATTTAATTAATCCAAGACTTTCTGCACTGGCTTTTGTCAGAATAATTGAAAGGGGACAGTATAAAAATGGACCAACTCCAGAGGTAAGCATATCTGGAAAGACAGATGTACATGCATAGCAACGGTTTACAGGGAGCACTTGACACACATGCCTAAAATGTCAAAAAAATCTGAGAAAATCCCTTCTACCAAAGAAACGAACAAAGCAACAAACTAATCAACCTAAATAGGCTCTAACGTCAGCTTAAGCATTGTACCCTTTGTGTAACTATATAAAAGAGATGGAGGACTTTTGTTTTCTAAATTGATTCAAGACAGATGCAAACACAGCAGAAAAAGTAACAAACCAATCCAACTAAATAGGATTTTTTCATCAGATAAAGCACTTTCGGTTCTAACCATGCAGATGGGATGAAGTTTGTTTTTTTTTTAATTTGATTCAAGACAGATGCAAACACCAGAGACTGACTCACAAAATATCAGCTGCCCAGGAATTTCTTCCACCCATGAGACGTGTTACTTACACAAGTTTCTGCAGCACACAGCACATTCTGAAGTTTCAGACACCTGCATTATAAACATATTTTAATAACCAAACCCTCAGTATACATCATTAAAATGTGTAAACAATCAGAGAACAGATTTTCCAGCAAATCAAAGCATAATATGAAATTAAAGAATGACAAAAGGACTTTTGCAAGAAAAAATGTTGAAATACACTTGTTTAACCAGAGTTTATGCATCGATTCAAAAACCATGAGCAGGTCGATAAGAAAACACAACCACACAAGGACAACTAGTTAACACATATGTTATTCTGCAATCTAGGTCCATCCTAAAATCTAGTCAAATTATATTGTGTCACACAGGCTTGCACGCAAAAGTCCATGATATAACATGCTACCTGGCATATGATCCAAAGTGTCGGAAATGATAAGACAACTTTGAGCAGTCCCTTGTTATGTTACTGAGGTGCACCCCACAACCAATATATTTTAACACAGCATCTACATGGACCAATAAATATGTCAAATTAACCTTATGTTCAGCACAAGACAAGAAAGTAAAATGCTAAAGAACCATCATTTTGTCTGTTAGGCTTGATTGTCAGAAAAGATAAGAATGGAATCGGGGGGAAATTCCAAATTTAAAATGTGTCGGAAGAGAAGTATTAAGAACGAGAGTTGGGATACAACATACAAGCTTAAGACACAAGCACTTGAAAAGAATTAACCAATAAGATACTAGACAGGAAAAATCAATACTTAAATCATGCTAGAAGGAAAACATTGTGCTTAATTTTCTGCTTTCTGATAGAGATATATCATACATGTATTGAGCATTTAATAAAACATTTATCAATTTGGCACGACATGTACAGATTCAATTAAATTGAAAGGTTTTGATGCTAATGAAGTTATTTAAATGATTCATAGCACAATCGAAACAGCAATGCCGCATTACAGATGAGAAATGTGTAAGAAGGGATGGATGCAATGAGAAGTCAAGTAGGAGTTAATCAACCAAGTTCTTGAGCCTCAATGATAAACTAAGCTAGCAACAATCTTAACTTGTTTTTTCCCTTTTCTCAGTAATACCCAAATCAAACTAAAGCAAGCAGTATCTTACCTGGAACTTTTATTTCACCAATACAACCATCAAAAGACGGGAGCAAAGCTTTCTCTGCTGCCGCATCTAAACAGCTGTTTCAAATCAAAATAATTAAAGTGCTGAATAAAGGATAAAAGTAATGAAAAATTTATAATTAAACTACTATGTCCATTCAATCAGACGGCGTACTCCTGTAAATGAGTCTCCCAGTAAATCCGCTGCCAGTCATATGTCACTTCATAATTTTCTTCACCTTCTTTTGCCAACCAATCGACTGGTTGAACAGCCTAACAAGACCAGGCCAACGTGACTTGTATAATGCCCTCCACGCTATCTCAAAGTTCAAACATCTGCATAAACATTAGATCTACACTAAGTATGATCTTACTGTTTATTTTTCCTTATATATAACAAAGGAAATATTTTTCTTTGTAGATCACATCATCGTTCCAAACCTTTTACGTTTTCTCTGATTTTCGAAGCAATCGTTGGTAGATTCATAGTCATTCCAATTACTGAATGACCTGCAAAAAGAAGATGCACATAAACATCTATGAGTATTTAAAAATTTTGACATGCCATCTTTTCAGTTGCTGCTGAACCATATGACATGCAAACCTGAACAAGCTGCCAAGTTAGCTACAGCTGTTAGGAAGCATCCTCAAATGCATTCATGAAATTGACCACCTCATGCACATCTTGATCCTTTTTTTAAATAAAAAACTTACATATTGACCGGTTCTGACTACAAATTACAAAATCACTGGCTAAACTGCAAAAGCATCAATATTCTAAATTTCAAAATCTAGAATTAGTTTAAACAAGGAAAAATGACAACAAAGAAAATAATTGAGCCCACAATGTGAACAAAAACATGACAGTGACCCCTTTCAATCACGAAATAATATAAATAGAAAACAAAAAAAGGAAAATTGGTTATGCATTCTGAGCACATATGATCACAGCAACAAGTAAATATTTCTGGCCAGGTTAAAAATAAGTAAATATTGCTGGCAAGGTTAAAAAGAGAGGAATATATAGAGCCATGTAGTCAGTATCCTAGGGAGACTACAGTTAACTGAAAAGCAGCATTCAGGATGCACGCAACTTGTGTTTAAATCAGAGGAAGCCAACAAAATGATCATGTTGAGCACAATGCTTTTTATTTTTTGCTATCTGAGATTAGCACATACTTAACAATTCGTAAATACAAGAAAACAAGCACAAGACAGCAAACTATCATGGCAGTAACCTGTCGTGTAAGGCTGGTATGCCGTAGCATGTAACAGAACAAAATAATCAGCAAACACACTTAGCCATTTACTCATAAAGTGGTACTCTCACAAAGCCCACCCAAATTCCATTTGCGCACACGATCCTTTTCCATGGGGATGGGGGTCAAGGGTTGATGGGATCCAAGAATCATTTTGCCACTCTATCTGTCATGCAGCACATGGTGTCAGATGGCCTAAATAGTTTCTCAAGGTAAAAACATTTCAGAGATAAAGTTCCTTGTTGGTAGCCACTTGATGCAACTAACGTCGCAAGTTAGATTAGTACCCAATCCATCATCCCAACAGCCCCAATAAATAGGGACCAAATCTCAACATCCTTTAGAAAGTTCCTTCTTATGTATCACACCACTCTAATAACTAACTCTAACATTTTGATAGAAAATTGGGTGTCAATCTCTCTAATAAAGTGCAGAATAAAAGTTAAAACGCCTATTTGGACTAAAACCAGGAAATTTCAAAGGTCAGACTGTCAATAGTTCATATATTACACCAAAGATTAAACATTTGGATTCCGAACAAGTTCTCCAATATCCTTCATCAAACCAAATCTAACTCCTCAGGTAAAATAAAAATACTTTAAACTAAAGAACCCCTACCACCGTGAATGTGAATAATTTAAACAGAAATATAACAAATAAATTGCATATAAAACTGTGTAAATTGTGCATAGAGAAGACTTTATGAATGCATAGCCAATGGTGTCACAATATTTTGTCTTCCAATACAATGAAACTTCAAAATCATGTGCTTAACAATAACAAAACAATCCACCTCATTAGAATCAAGTCATATATAGCAAGGAAGCAAAGATAAAATAGTTCATACGGTTCTAGAATACAAGTTAGAAGCCAGAAAGCCTACTTGGACTATAAACAGAAAATACCCAAACAAGTTCTCTGATATCCTTTCCCAAACCAACATACTTTAAATTAAAGGACGTTAGGTTTTTAGCATTGACACGCACCAAACAGTTCACCACATTAGCAACTTGTAAAAATAGCAACAAAAAAAAATGAAAATAAAATTGTACTATGGTTTTCACACAACACAAAATATGAAAAATGCGGTAAGAGTGTGAAGGCAGAACTAACAGTTGTTCTTGTAACTTTTGCAAGGCCAGGGGAGGTAAGCTTGTCAACAGGCAATCAAACAAGTCTAACGGAAGTTCATATATATCCGGTAGAAGATCATCCCCTGCAGCAACCAAAATCCAATAAGACATAAAAAAAAAAAAAATGAGTGCCATTGCAATATTGCATACAACCAGCCTTCCAACTTTTCAAAAACAAGAACAATCCAGTCGTATTTAATATAGTTCTGCTCTACAAAGCCAAAGCATAAAATATTACCCCGAACAAGTTCCATCGCAACTGATTCCATGCATAAAGTGAATAAAGATGGAGCCTCACCCATTCTTGACGAATCAAAGCAAATTGAGCCCAATCTGACCGTATTCAACTCAAAGAAAGTATTCTTGAGTTATCTTTCCGAGTACATCAATCAAATTTATGCTTACATACAACGATTAGAGCGCAAATTACAAAATAAAGTTAAAAAAACCTAGAAATAACGTACTGATGGTAATCGAATCCAATGAACGTCACTCTCAAGAATCACATAAAGTTCATCAACCCACAAAATTCCATGAACTCAAATCACCAAAAATCTCTGAGTTTAGTTTCAGTGATCTTTCATATTTTCGCGCCTGCTATAAAGACAATGAAAAAGTTCATTAGCGACTGCATCAATGAACCCAATTCGAGTGTATCCAACTCAAAGAAAGTGTTCTTGAGTTAGCTTTCTAAGTTCCATCAATCAAATTGATGCTTAAATACAAGGAATAGAGGGCGGATAACAAAATAAACTGGAAAAAAAAACCCCTAAAAAGAACATTCATATGAAAAGACTATTTAAATGGTCTTTCATTGTTTCGCCCGTGCTATAAAATACGACGTCAAAACTCTGTTATATAATAAATAAATGCCACAGCAACCGTCACAATCCCTTGTTACCGTTATTGAACTGAAAAGGATTCAATTGAAGAAGTTCTGAAATCTTTACTAATAAGATAGAACTCATTTTGAATTTTTTCTACTTTAAAATTTAATTTTATTTGGAAAAGCATAAGAACGGCTCAGATTAAATCCACTTTTAATTCAAAGGCCCACATTTTCATCTCATTTCTTCCATTTCAATCCAATGGCTTGCAATGCATCTCAACCCAAAAAAAAAATCCCGCCCATTTTTATCCATTCCCCTACAGTTACTCAATCAAACCCATTCCCCTACAGTTACTCAAATCAAACCCATTCCCCTACACAGCTACTCTCTGTCTCCCGCCATGCCTCACCCATTTCCCTACATACCCATTTCCTCTGCCATGCCTCACCCCAGACAGCAACCCAGACCCCTTACCCCTCTACCCACACCCTTCTCACAACGGCTCAGCAGCAGCGACACCGGCTCAGCAGCGGCACACAGTGGCGATCAACACAGCAGCGACACCAACGGCGTTCAACACAGCGGCACACAGCGGCACACAGCGGCTCACCAAGCTCAGCCCAGGTACCTCCCTCTCCCCCTTTCACGACCCACAGCAAATTAAACATACCCACCTCTCTCTCTAGCTGAAAGACCCACAGCAATCTGCTCAAAGATTGGAAAACATTTTGATTGCAGAAAGCTACAGAAACCGAATCCAGTATAGGAAAGACCTTGATTTAAGCTAATTAGATTGAATATAAGCTAATTCAAACAAAGTGTAAATCAAAATTACACAAAAATTTCTCTCGGTCATTCCAACAAACAATTGGTGTGGGTGGGTCTGTTTGTGATGTGTGTGTGGGTGAGTGGGTGAGTGGGTGTGGGTGTTTGTTTCTGGGTGAGTGGGTGAGTGGGTGTGAGTGTGTGTGATGTGGGTGCGTGTATACTGGGTCTGTGTTGGGTGTGTGTGCTGGGTTTGTTTGTGTGTGTGCGATTTGTGTGTGGGTGGTGAGTATGTATGTGTGTATTGTGCGCTGTGATTGTGTGTGAGCGAGAGAAGTGTTGGGTGATGTTGAGTAGAAGAGGGCAGAGAAGATATGGGGGTAGGATGGGGGTTAGTGTGTGCTTGTGTGTGTGTGTGAGAAAGACACAACCATTTCAAGCACCAACCATGCCTAGCAAGCATTAGGTGTTTTTGAACCCATTTCAAGCACCAACCATTTCTCTAGCAGCAGCCGAAAATTTCAACCCAAACCATTTATATATGATTCAGACTTCATAAGGGTGGAGGTCCTGATTTCAAGAATCATCCAGGGATATTCTCAAAGAGACGGGGACTGCACATTTGTGGGTGTTTACCGAATACATCAAGCATTCACCAAGTGTGGGTGTGGGTGTGGGTCTTTGTTGGCGAAGTGGCGGTGGGAAAAAAAAAAACAGAGAGAGAGAGAGAGATATTGCTGGCGAAGTGGCGGTATTGCTGGAGGTGGTGGTATTGCTGGCGAAGTGGCGGTGTCGCTGGAGCATAACAGAGACAGAGAGAGAGAGAGAGAGAGGAGGGGGGGTAAGTAGTAACAAAGGGTGGGAAAAAAAAAAAAAGGAAGAAAAGGAGATGCAGGAAGGTGGCTTCTTTGACAGCTGAACGGACTGGGTGGATAGTCAGGAAAAAAAAAAAAGGCATACTTAGTTAATGCTTGCTCTAAAACACTTAGTTAATGCTTGCTCTAAAATTTTCGAATTTTCTTAGTTAAAAAAAAAAATTTTCGAATTTTCGAATTTTCTTAGGAAAAAAAAAAAAGGCATACTTAGTTAATGCTTGCATCTATATAATAAAATTTTCGAATTTTCTTCTCCACCTAATGCTTGCTCTAAACAAGTAGAGCTGTTTTTGAATTCATAAACAATGTCTTAGATCATTTCTATAGCGCTCTGTGTGTGTGTGTGTGTGTGTGTGTGTGTGTGTGTGTGTGTGTGTCTGTGTGTGTGAATATGTGTATGATACATTCATACATATATGTTACAAGGATACATATATGTGGTAAGATGGAGCTATCAAATATACACGAAATACGGTAGAAAATAAAAAAAAAGAAACAACAAAATTGCTAGGTGAAATGTGAGACAAGCTTACCCATTGCTAGATGACAACAAAATTGCAATTTAGAGAACTTGAAGCAACTACAGCAATATGATGTTTGATAATAGGATAGCTCAGAAGTTGAATTTTATCCCCCAAAAAAACATCACATCACCAATTTATATCACATACCCAATTATTTCGATATTGAATAATTCATGGTTTAATATAATTTTTATTTCACATATTATCCATACAATATAGTATACATATACATAGATATGTTAAGAATTTTTGTCAAATTATGTACTTTGAAAAAAAATTGTCGATATTTTTAAGAAAATAATGGATAAACAAAGAAAATTTATTATTTAATATAGTGAAATAGATTTTTTTGAGCACTCGAATTTTATGTTTTATCGTGCCTTCAGGCACGGGTTAGCAGTGGCGGTGGTGTTGCTGACGAAGTGGCGGTGGTGTGGCTGGAGCGTAAGAGAGAGAGAGAGAGAGATAGGGGGTAAGGAGTAATATGTGTTTGGGTTTGCACTTAATTTGTCCAGTCATATGGTAAAATCTATAACACAACGTTTAGTAATCTATTTATTAATGGAATGTCTTTTTGGTTGGGTAATAAGAAGCTTACTTTCAATTTTTCTATCCAGCACACACACACATTGTACACAAACACACAGGCCTATTTTATTACACACAGGCCTATTTTAGTAGTAAGTGGTCAGAAGTCTATTTTATTACTATGGAAGTTTTGAATATAAGCCTATTTGGGATTAAAATATGTTGGTTTATTATATACATATGCTGACCAATCTTTGCTTTTTTGGGTGGAATCTATGTTTGCTTGCTAGAGTAAAAAAATATTTTTTGGGTGGAATCTATTTTTTGGGTGGAATCTATTTTTGGGTGGAATCTATGCATACACATAAGAATTTGTTGATGTTTATACTCTCTTTTTGTTAGCAGATAATGGAATATTTAATTCCTATGGCAAATGGTTGACAATGCAATATTGAATCACTCACAATTTCTTGAAGCCGAAAACTTTGGCTTATTGGTAGAATGGAGTCAAATTGAACGCTTCTAATGTAGTGTTTATTTTTTTTTCTTTCAACTCTCTTTGTCTCTCACCACCAAGGTGTTCTAATTTTTCTAATTGTACATGTTGAAACATTTTAAGATTCAATTAGATTTTTCAATAGTATTTTTATTTGTGGAATAGGTGTTCGGTTCAAATATATTTTCTATCCGCACTTATATGCTTTATATGTTGCTTTTGTAGTGATCTTCTAATTGGTATGCCTTTTAATTGATTTTTTTTGTTTGTTACATAGTGCCTTCTATCTAAAAAAACGTAAATCATATTAATTACTAACATAGATATATTAGTATGATTGCCAATGTTTCTTTTTGCATTCACTTCACTCACACATTTGTAAGATCAAAGTTTGAGACACTTACAAATGACCTGGGATTTATTGGTGTTGTATATATGAGTGTAATTAACAGTAATAGATCATTTCGAGTTCTTTATATTTATTAAAGTTGGTTTGCGAAACTACACCCTTGGCATCAAGGCTTGAAGCCTTTATAGATGTTCATTTTAGGAATGGTGGTGGTGGTAACATGTTTATGATTATATTGCGATTTTGAGTTAGAGGGTTGGGAGGTTAAAAACAGGTGTTCAAATTTAATGTTTGATTTTTTTCAGTTGTACCGTGCCTTCAGGCATGAGTTATTCTTAGTCTATATAATAAAATACAATACAATTCAAATTTCAAAAGATAAACAAAATAAATTATGTTATTCACGGTTGATATCGCTTTAAATTTTATTTTAAAGATAATATTAACCTTCCAAATTTAATATGAAAAATAGGTCCTTAAAAGTACATTTGAAATGACTTTTTAAAAGTACTTTTAAGACTTACAACTTTTCATAAATATTTTTAAAAAAAATAGTGTTTGGAATTGCACCACCACCCACATCACCATTACCACCATCACCGTCACTCCACCACCACAACTACCCCCCCAACCACCACCACCACCACCACCATCAAGGCTTTTGTATGAAAAAATATTTTTCTTTTCCATTGGAACATGCTTTGAAAAAATATTTTTCTTTTCCATTGGAACATGCTTTGGGTAGAACATATCTTGGCAGACTGTGAGAAATAGACAATGGTGTTTTAATGGTTTGGATATGATTGTGTCTTTTATTTATTTTATTCTCCCTCTTCTCCATCTGGTCTTCACAGCAACACGCAGACTTGAAAATGCCTTCCCCAATTTTAGCCTTTGTTCTTGGCACTTGGAAGAAATTATTCCTTTAAAACTAAGTTAACACTTTTATTATCAGAAATATGTAAGAGTATCTTATATTCATGTTTGTGTTGTGTGGTACCAGGTGCATAATTGGTTGGTTTTTTGTTTTAATATTTCATGGTGTGGTTATTTACTGGCTAGCTATGTTAGGGCGTTGTTTTGCTTAAATTAATTTTTGTTTGGAACCAAAAGTTTTTTGTAATCTCTTTTTTCTTTCATTCCACTCTCTGATAAAATTAATAAAAATTCGCTTTCTTTATGGTGGGGGTGGTGAAAAGCAAACTCGGTGCAGTCTGTTTTGTATTTTGTGTTTCTTGGATTTTTTATAATTCATATTCTTCCTGCATTCTTTTCCTTTGTTTTTTTATTGATTAAGCAAGATTGAAATATCTTGCACATTCAATGAAATATCTTGATTAAGTACTATACGATTAGAATTTTCACTTTTAAGTCTTGATTTTAATTTCACTTTCAGTGATGTTATCCCGATAACACTTTTGGAACCTACAGATTTCGAACGCTTTTGACTGTTCAATTATGTTTTTTGGATTAAGATTTTTGGTTGATTAAAATGTTTAGAATATAGTCCATTGCCTTTGTTCTAGAGTGTATTGTGTTTTCAATATTGCAAAATGCATTTTTCCTAGCCCATTAAAGTAATAAAAGAAAAGTGTTGGTCATTCATATAATATGTTGGGGTGATTTACACATCCCTGGAATTACTTATATTTTTCATTATCTAACAATTGAATTAGTCCCCCATTTGCATGGGTCATATCTTCCCACATTGAGATACTATATAAATTTGTTGTTGTCTATTATTTAGTAACCAACTGAGATACTATATAAATTTGTGGGTCTAGAATCTTTGCATGAATGATCATTCGTTACCTTTGCATTAATAATTCAAAAGTTATTTGTTCTTAAAAGAAGTTAATTCGTGGCACAATGATGTTGCTGTGACAACTTTTGGTTGTCTTTGTTGGATAAGTCCCCCATTTGCAATCCCCCATTTGCCGTGGCACAAGTCCCCCATTTGCAGTGGAATCATTTTTGGATATACTTTGTTGGGCTTTTTACAATATAATTTTTTAATTATGCTGTTTATGATGAGTTAATTTTTCATACTTGGTTAATGGTGGTTTAAAGTACTCATTATGTTTTTAAATTTTGAATGGCTTTGTGGCATTTGAACTACTCATGTGACTTACTTAGTTGTCACATGACTGCTTATGAAAGTAGACTGCTTATGATTTAACTACAATAATATTATTGTGCAAATGCTGAAAATATGATATTGAATGCTAT